GGCCGGATCAGAAAACTCATGTCATATATACCCCAAAAACAGCAATAAGTTCAAATAATTGTGCAGAGAAACGCAAATCTATTACAGAAATCTTTTTTAATTGATGAACTCTTTCTTTTACAAAATAGTATAATATTATGAAAAAATGCTATTTCAACACAATGTTTGAACATGAACTTGTATGCAAATAGGAATAAATCAGTTTTTCTTGGAAAATCCTGCACTCGGCGTCCACTTTTCTCATTTTTGACATTTTGCTGATGAGGGTGTCATGGTCAACAGTCAAAACAATCGTCCTTAAAGAGCGTTTGGAAAGAGACAAGTCTTCATTTGTGCTGCTCTGGTGGGAGGGGCCACACACAGAGGCACTGGGATGCTGCTATACTAAGCGGAACAGAAAATTACCAATATTTTAATAGAAAACATGATTAAAATATTTTTGTAGAAAATCAGCCGAGGGCCAGATTAAAGGTCTTGGAGGACCGGATCCGGCCCCCGGCCTTATGTTTGACACCTGTGATGTATAGTGTTGTGACAATATTAAAATTTTGAACTCTTAACTATTTCAATACTAAGGACTAGACTATTTCAATACCACAATTATAGTAAAAAAAAATACTTTCTTTAGACAAAAAAATGTCATTTTCAGTATAACATAATAGTACTTTCTTTAATATCACCATGTGGTTTTTCTATCTGTCTAATCCATCAGGCATCAAGGCAGATTCCATTGTGGTCCATGGGCGTAGCCTATGTGCTCTTATACTTGTTCTGATACAGCTCAAGATCGTTCTAAAGCTATTCAGGAAAGGTTCATTTCCGTCCTGTCAGTGTGATTTTTTTAGTATTGATACCTGATCAAATTAATATCTAGTTTCAATACTAGTTTTAGTATCAATTACGATCTAATTTTCAATACTTTTGACAACCCTAATCTGTATTTAGTCTGAGTAATGACTATGATACTCAAAATACAACTCTGATTATTTTTTATAGCCAATTAGCCACGATAAGTCTATTATAATTATTATAAATTTTACAGCCCTAAATTCTAACAAAGTCTTGGCAAAACCTTACACAAAAAATGGATTGATTACAAACGATCATTATTGTGGTCTACTCTTCATGCTGCCAATAATACAGACTGTTAATAATCTCTGGCTAACATTTAGATCTGCTCTCAGTGCATCTAGCTTTGTGTGTGGTGGTGTTTTGCAAAGAGAATACATCTGTGAAGCCTGGTACAGTGAGCCAGGATCAGAACAGAGGAGCAGGCCCGGCTCAGATGCACTTTTTACTGTGTCACAGAAACACAGAAGCGGCGCCAACTTTTGTGTTTGAAGCAAAAGAGATGGAAAGTACTGAAAAACTCCTCTACAGTTCAGAGCATGAATGTTTAATGCTCCTAAACTAGAAACATGTCATTTTAAGCACTTTCATAATAATACTTTGTTGGAGAGAAAAATAGGTAAATTTTGCTTCATGGTGAAATGGTATATTAAAGGATCTGTACCAGATTTTTTTCCTTTCATCTGAGCAAAATGTACTGTGCCAGCAGCTCTTGAGGTCAAATAAGTCCACTGTGTACAGTCTGCAGCTTCTATTGCCCCATTTTCACTGGTTATCTTTGGAGTAGATCGATATGGTCTGAAAAGTGTCTCCACTGTCTAAAGTGAACCATACCACCATGTTAGAAGTGTCCGAAGTGGAGCCTGGAAGTACTAGCTCCCGAGGGGTCTGGGACCAGTACAGTGCGGATCTCGTCCATTAAAATGACTAAACAGATGATTAGACAAGAAAGAATCCAGAGCTGGGTCAAAACAAGACAGCAAAAAGCAAATATGAATATAAAATAATAATTGCTCACCAAACACTGACTTGATTTTATGATAAACTGCTGTATTTCGAATTATGGTAAATTTTGAGCTTACATGGTCAGCAAAACAAAGCTAGCACAAATGCAACAGCAGTTTCCTGTTTAACGATGCACATCACTTGCCTATAAAGATCAAAGTATTATATTTTCCGTGCATACTGCATCTAACATGAGCCAAACGATTTGCATTATATAAAGAAATGTTTAATAGTGGCATAGAGGTGAAGAGAAATGAAATAAATGCAGAAAAAGATTATTGCAAACCGGAAGCAGTTTACTATTTACTCTGGGTTAAGCCATGTCTCACAAAGCTTGGATACTTGGAATTACTAAACATATTTTTGTGAATTGCTGAAATCGGCCTTATGATTACGAGTATAATTCTGATGTGATTTTGATTTTATTTATAAGAACATTTGTAATGTTTCGGTGACATCAGTGTCAAACCAAACAAACCTGCTCCAAGCGCACCATGCCAATGGAAAAAAAACAAGAAACATTTTACTGTCCAGTAATCAGGAAGTGTGTGTTAGCATGCTAATGGTTGTTAGCATTACAGGGTTTAAAAGATGCTTATAAAATCATTGCGGTGAATGATTAGGATGCTTGGAATGAATAAGGTAACTGAGGAATAAGTTTGGTTCACTGCAAATAGTCTCTTGTTCTGTTTTTCACATTTTAAGATACAAAGAAATCAGGTATAGCACCTTTTACAAATCATTTTCAGTAATTTTTTCTACATTGGTAATTAAAAAGCATACACCATTTCATCTGCGATGTATTACTGAAACTTTATAAACAGCAACTCTATCAAAACATTAGCCAAATTTTAACTTTTAATATGGTTTTTGAACAGAAAATAATCACATCATGGGCATTAGTCACCACAAAGCTGGTTAGCTTCTACCAAGCTTTTAAATTCTTAATATTTCAGAATTTCTATTGGAAAAAATAATGGGAAATTTTACTTTCAGATCTTCAGGTGACTTTGAATATTGCGCTTCACAAATTTGAGGAATACATTAAAGAAAGAAAGCTATTAAAATCCAAGCTAACTTTCCCACTGGAGACAAAAAGTAATGCATTTGAACAAGTCTGTCAAATTAAATTGCACTATTGATGGCAAAAAAGACAAAAAGCTAAAACTAAGAATGTTACAGATCAAATAGTAGTACTGTAATTCTCTGCAGTAGCCTGTTAAGAAAGCCTGACCACTGTCTCATTAAAGTAGACATCGCTCTACCATGTGCACTTAAGGCCCTTCCATCATGTAAATCCGTGCAGACCATTTCCGCCTCTTGTGCCACTCCAAATGAAAATGAGTGTTTGGAATTGCGTTGTAAGAGCATTTCACCATCAAGCCTGGAGTACTCCACGGACATTAAAATACATGTTACTGAGTGGGGATATGTGACTTGAATGTAGTAAAAATATAACTAAAGGTCCTACATTACACAAAATGGACTCTTGTGAGCCTTAAGTTGTTATAATGTTGTTACTTCACCACAAACATAACTGGAGTTGTGTTTCATTCACACATTCACAGTTTTCAGTCTGAGAGAAGAACTCAACCTAAATATGCAGGGATTGTGTGTTAAACATGAAATAAAACACAACTGCAGGCATGTTTCTGACGAGGAAACATTATAACATAGATCAGAAAATATTGTAATATGGGCGCTTCAAAATGTGGGAATTATGTTGAAGATGGTATATCATTTTGTATTTTGACTTTTAAATGAATACATTTTTGTTTGGGACATTTTACTGGATAGGTATGGACAATATCCACAATATTTTTTTCCCAATGTCGTTGAATGTCTACATTAGGTGTCTAACTCCCCCTGCTGTCAACATTGGGGAGTGAAGCTCTTTGAAATTACAAATTAGCAGCACAGTTATTACTGACGCAGTGCTACAAGAGATGCTATCTAAGGCAATTTAAGTCATAATCAGAATTTGTTTGGTCAAGGTGTATGAACTGTGAAAACACACAAGAATACAAAGTGGTTTCATTTTCTTATCTTTCATATTGAAAAAAAGCATAATTGAAAGCAAGGCATTTACTGAATAATTTGTAAATTAAGCAAAATCTCATCTACCCACTCAGCACACACACTACCATTCAAAAGTTGCGACACACCTTCTCATTCAGTGTTTTTAAAAAAAAATATATATATATAAGATACATACCGTAGACTGTATAGACATAGCCAATCCAATAGCTGTCTTGTTCCAAATAGGAAGTGAGCATTATTTTACATCGAAATGCAGTGAGCCTCATTATTTTGGCCTTTAAAATGTTCAGATTATTTCGCTATTTTGTCCACAAATAAATTCATATTCCTAATATGCAACTCCAAAATCACTCCAAATTCACCCCTGTAACTACTAGCCTTGTGAGCGTCATCTGACTGAAGCCAAACACTATGTATGTATGTTTTATATTTTAGATTCATATTCGCTGTTCGTTGTTGAAAGTGCTGCAAAACCTTGGCCTCCACCTGATGAGTTTCATGATGAAGTCCCCTGAAATGGTTTTCACATCACAGGTGTGCCACGTCAGGATTCATTAGAGGAATGCCAAAAGTGTGCTGTGTGCAAAGCGGTGATGAAAGCAAAGATTGGCTATTTTGAAGAATCTGAAACATGTTTTTGTTCAGGGACTGCAGATTGGATTTAGTTCCAAGAGCTCAAGTCTGGTACAAAGCATCTCTGTTTCTTTGATTAAAGCTCTTGTACATGGTCTCTACAAAATAAACTAAATACACTAAACTTTTGAGTTATTTCGCACTTTTTTGTACGATATTACATGTGTTAATTCATAGTTTCCACCCATTCAGTGTGAAGCTACAATGTAAATATTCAAGAAAAAAAGCCTTTGACTTGATAGTGTATTTTTGAAGAACAAGCAAGATTTCTCCTTTAATGTCTTCTTTAACTGTGTTCTTACACTATAACTACAACTCCAATCCCTTATTTTAAGTTTAGAAATTGTCAAATGCATAGAGTAGAATTTGACTCTAATCTCACCCACCATCTGCTTAGTGCTTCATTGTGTAACTCTACAGAAGATAACTTTCCTCTTTCTAAAGCCCACACTTCTCCTGTTTGCCAGTCTTACCGTGCCAGCCCATAGAGTATGGGAAAGAGACCTCAAACAGATTGTCATATTTAGTCAGGAGTCGCTTCATGATGTCAGCCAAATCTAACAAACAGAGCAAAGGAAAGTTAAAACAAAGTTACATAATAACAACCAGCCATAAGATTATGACTGGACTTAAATTAACTCTTTTAACCTCAGTTTTCATTTACAGCTCATCAAGAACACAGAATCTCAAAACTACTCAAATGGAGACTCAGGAAGGTTTATGCACTGTTAGCATGCTAGTTGTTGATTCATTTCATAGATATCTGTGGCTGTCAGCTCTACATAAGCTTCAATATTTTGAAAAAAGTTTGGACACGCCTGGGTGGGATCTTACAGCCATTTTATGATATCCCAGATCCCTCTTCAATAAAATGCATGCACTCTACATGATTAAACAGCAGAGCGGAGAAACCAGACTTCATCTTGTTTCTTAACACTGCATATTGCTTTATTTAATCCTTATTTAAAATGTTATCTTTTGGTATGCAAAAAAAAAGACTAGTGAAGATATGTTTTATATGTGTCATTCTTACAACTTTTAAATGGTACTTTTGGTCAGTTTTAGATTTAATAAAGTAAAAATTGTCAGTTTATATGTATTATGCTACTACAAAAAAACTCAAAATATCTAAAAATCTTATGGGCTGTGTTTCCAGGCGCAGTTTTGTAAAGTTTGTTTTTTAGTTTACTTATAATTGCTTCTTTGCTCTTTAGAAGTGTCCTGTCTGAAGAAACAGACAGATAAGACTTGTGCTTGAATGTCCACCGCTGAGACTAAACTGCTCCTAATTGTCCCGGGGCTGTCCCAGGCACTCACCCTTTCTCTCCTCCGCAGTCAGATCAGTCAACCTCAGGACATGTCGTCGTGGTAACAGCAGTGTTTGGTATGGCCATGTCGCCCAGTATGGGACCACTGCCAGCCAATCAGAGCTCTCCACCACCACACGATCCTGCAACAAAAGGCAAGAGGTGAATAATAACCAACACTAGCAGAAGTATATGTTGTAAGTTTTAAAAATCACCAAATGATTTATGAGATATACCGCAGTGCTGTGTATAAATAATACAAACATTTGCGCATAATGCATTTATTTTAAATTAATCTCATGATGAGAGCTATCCAAAGCAAACATTCATTTAATTTAAAATGAGTTATTTATTACAGTATAACACAGAATAGTAGCGCTTGCAAAACAAATGAAGCTTAATACTGTACTGGGGAACATTCTAGGCAAAGCAATATCATCTCCATGGAGACAATCACATTTCTCTACTGGGAAATTTACTCAATGCACCATTAAAGCTACCATCCATTAGTCTTATTCATCAGCCGGTTTTACTTTGTTTCACTTCGTACAAGTCTGACCTCGCAGCCTTAGAATTAGTTCACTCAACATTAGGCAGGTACTTTTTATCATTTAACCAATCGCTGCTATTTGGTTGTGACGTATGTAATGCGCCGCTAACAGGGCTAACTGGTATATTAAGCTTTTTCCAAATTCTGTAGGAACAAGGACAATAACGTCTTTCCCCTTGATGAAATTCACCAAACATTCTCTTTATTCTGGCTTTAAATCCTCAATCTCCAGAATTGTTGACAACACAGAGTATATATAATATAATATCACTTTTCACTGATTGGCTGGTGCCTGAACTTGCATTTCGTTTTTGCAAATGGTCTTTTGTATTTTGATTCCTGACCTAGCTGCTGGAGAGAAATGAAATTGGGCGGAGACACTAGGTGGCGCCAGCCTGGCTAACCATCTGTAAGTTTATTGGGGTTTTTGTCCAGTAGATGGCAGATTTGAAACCTGTCCCACCTCCCTTCTCCCCACACATGACCCCTCCACCCTCCCCTCACGTGGCCTTTGTTCAGGCTCACCTGTGTTCTCTGGTCTTCTTCTGTCAGGCTAAAGACTCATTGTGAGACAGCAGTAAAAAAGATAACATGTAGTGGTGAAGTTTAAGAATACAACAGGAGCAGGTCGACCATTCTGATTTCTGATGGTAGCTTTAACTCCTTAAAAAAACAACAACAGAAAATAAAATATAATACATGACATGCCAATTTACAATGCCGTGCCTGTGTCATTCAAAATATCAAATGACTATCTATGGAGTTTTTAGAATGAACTTCACTTTTATATGGTATAATGAAAACAAGTTGATTACAGTAATAAAATAGAAAAAGAGAAAAATTGCTATGACAATAAAGATCATTTAGTTCAAATTAGTTCTGACTGCCTTGTATGTGTGTGTATTGTGACAGAGTTAGCGAAGCAGTGTAACAGTCTAATTATGATGAGGTGTTTTAAATGCAGCGCATGTTTAGGCTGAGATTGAACAAACTGATGAGTGGGTACAAACATGACCTGACCTTCGTATCACATTAGTCAGGAGCCTCTTGAGCCCCATGTGTCAAGTAAACAAGCAATTCAAATGAATATGGGCTAATTCAAGTGGATTCATAATATAATTTCGACAAACTTCTATAATGAACTCACAAGTCACATGGGGAAGCTTGAAAGATACTCTGAAAGGAGCCTCTGAAAGTTGAGAAAAACTAATACAAGATGCTAGGGTGTGTTAGAAAAGTGAAAAATTACTTTGGACCACTGCAAATAGAATAGAATAGTTCTGTTTTTCACTTAATTAAGATGGAGATAGTATATTTTTATTACTCCTTTAAAGCTAAAATGTGTTATAAAAACAGAAATACGTGAACATGGATGCTTTGGTCAGTTGGTATTTCTGTTCAGTAAAAAAATATCTTAATATCTCTTAAATAATAGCTAATTCGTTCTCCTTACTCAATGATAGGACACATGTCTTCAGTTTTTTATTTTTGTTTTGTTTTGTGGATTAAACAATTAAAAGGTAATTTCTCTATAGTGGAGGGCACCGCATCTGCTTGTGTTCATGGAGATGTTATAGTTTTGCCTTGAATGTTCTACAGTATGGCATGAAACGTATCTTTTTCTAAGATCAGATCAGTAGTGTGGTGAGCAAGTATTGGTGTTTTTCAGATGACATCATTGCAGTCCATAGGCCAATTTTATTTAATACCGATAAAATTAATATTATTCAGCTGTAGATTTTTGTTGCTGTATAGCGTGGTCTTGGGTCTAGTCAATAATAGATCAGGTTTTATATCTGGTAATTTACCTTTCCAATATTTCATAGTAAAGTACAGTGTAATCAATAGGAAAAACTGGTCCTTGCCCCCCATCTGGAAGTATGACATTATCACAGTCTACAGTCTACAGTCCACTGATATAATAAAACACTTGTAATTTAACGCTAGGTAAATTTAATGCCATACAGAACATTCCAAATAAAGCTGTAGCTCCATAACTTCAGTTCACAAACTCATCAGAATCCATATTGGCATGCTCCGGTGGTGTGACAGGGCCTGAGAGATGGTAGGCGACCAATCATGTTGCAGCATTGAGGTTTGGCAAGGAGAAGCACCCAAACAAACCAAAACAAACATGGCAACATCAACAGATATACTTCAGCCTACTTCAGCATGAATATGGAAAATTTCGACAGAGACGATAACCGTGCTTTCTTTCACCTGGATCTGACTAAAGTTTGATTTTTCAGCTTGTTCCGCTGTTCTGACGCTTCAACCGATCAGACTCAAATAGTCACCATGAAGCTCTGTATTTTCCGAACGCCAAGAGTGGTTTCAGCTTGATAATGTGTAGCACTCAATTCAGAGTGACACACATATTAATCTGACGTGAGCCAGGTTAATAACTCCATGGAGACAAGAACAGATGTTCACCAGAAAAGTGACATAGTGCACCTCAAAAAAAATTGAAGTAGTATTATGATTATTTGGCAAAAGAAAGATATTATAAAACTATTTTGTACTAATTATGATACAAAAAGTGCATGTGCAAAACTGATTTACTATTTTTTATTTTTACTCCTAAAAGTCTTACACTGGTGGCCACTGCAAATTAAAAAAGGCAAAAATTATTACAACTGAAATTTTTATATCAACTATCAATTAAAACGGCAGCTGTAACGATTTCAAATGACTGCGCCGAGTCAAACTTCCTATATACATTTTGCATGGTTAAGTAGAGCCAGGCTGAATTAGCATAGCCAATGAATTAATTTTAATAAGTAAAGAAGCACATTTAATACGCTTAATCATTTATGCCCTGACCGCTGTGGTTTTCTCATTAGAGCGATTTCTGTTGGATAACTTCTTTCTAAATGGGCTCCAACTTTCTTCAGCTTTTGTCTTCCTATAACCTCTCTCATCCTCTTGTTCTCCAGCTCTCTTCTGCTCCGTCTAACTGGATTAAGGAAGCCCCAACAATAGAGATTGAAAGCCGGGGCTAAGACGAAAATTGAAAACAAAAGGATGGGGTGCAGACAGGAGAAGAGAGAGGAAGTCTACAATGTCCTCTCCCAAATCCCAAAGAGTTCTATTCAATTAGCCTTGGAAAGTTTTTGCTCCAAAGTCAGTGTCACCTGGGAGCTGAAGCAGTAATAGCTTGGGTTCATGTAACATCACAACGTTCTAGAATAGTTTAACAATGAGCATGAGGTCAAGTCAGAATACTATGGTAGGATTAGCTTTTTTGTCAGATTGCAGATTTGCTGGCCTGGTTTATGGTTAATATCTCTGAAATTACTAGGCCAGGGGTCGGCAACCTTAAACACTCAAAAAGCCATTTGGAGCGTCTTCCACAGAAAAGAAAACACCCGGAGCCACAAAACCCTTTTGACATCTAAAACGAGAAAACACTGCATTTAATTGTTTTTACCTGTATGCTATGTGTGAAAGACTATAGTGTGTTGCATTTATGAAATCTACCTGAAATGCTATAGACAACATGGAATTTTATTTCTGCATGTAACAGAAACATTTTGAACTCTGAAAAAAAAGCATTTGGTTGATGCTTATTTTCTAATGAAATACTCAATGTCTATTTGAGTCCTCTTTGTAGGAAATAAAAATCTAAACTTAATTATCCACCTGCAGTGAACCACAGATTCTATCTGCTTTTGTGTTCTGTCATAATTTTCTTGGAATTATCTATCATTTACCTACCAGGGGTTGAAAAGCTCAATAAATCATGGTGTTGGTGTAGGTACCGGTAAGTCCGGGATGGCAGATATCTGCCAGGTGTTGCACATCGTAGTTGTGACGAGTATTTTGAGCAACAAAAATATTAAAAATCTGTTATTTTAATATTACCATTATCTACAAATTTAGAATTACATTTAAAAATGAACAAACTAAAATAAACATATATGTAATTAAATACTACAAAGTCATATGAAGCCAAAACAGAAGGATGAAAAAGCCACATGTGGCTTGTACAAAGGCGCAGACAAAGGGAGTGTAATGTCACCCACAGCGTTCAACTCCAGTCAAATGAAGCTTAAGATGCTAGCGGTTATAGGGGCAAATTTGGAGCCAGGTCCATATTAGGAATTAGAATTTATTAACAGACTATTCAAATTTATTAACGGACTAACAGACTATTTATTAACAAAAACTGTCACAAAGTTTAATGTCTTCTCTGTTAGCATAAATAAACAAAAGTGAAATTACGTTGTCACAATAGCTTCAGAAAGTGGTGCCATTATTCAACTCCAAAAATGTGACTGCTGTCAGTTGAAAAGACTTTAAACCATAAGATTAATACGACAAGTCTGTGGAACCAATTCCGAACAAATAATGATAATACAATCCACATTTGTAGGTCACACGTTTGGAGATTTCTTTCATAAACGGCAAAAGAGTTATATAGGCCCAGGCCCTCGATCTGAAATTATGACTACATCAATTCTACTTTCCCTGGGGAGGTGCAGCTAACTAGAGTCACTACTCAATCTGATTTAAACAAGTCCCACTCAAATGACATTACAGCTAGAAGATAGCGTTAGCCAACATTTTTTTGCTCTTACCCTTTTTGTTATA